GCACTTACCAGGGGTAAATAAAGACATACCAGGGGTAAGACACACAGGGATAAACAAAGACATACCAGGGGTAAGACACACAGGGATAAACAAAGACATACCAGGGGTAAGACACAGGGGTAAATAAAGACATACCAGGGGTAAGACACAGGGATAAACAAAGACATACCAGGGGTAAGACACAGGGGTAAATAAAGACACAGGTGTAAACAAAGACATACAGGGGTGAACAAAGACATACACCACTTTAACCATTATTACCACCACGTCAACCACCACCAACAGCCACAATTCAACCACTATCACCACCACCTCAACTATCAAACACTATTACCAACACCACATCAGCCACCACCAAGTACAGTTATTCATCTACCACCGCTATCTCAACTACCGCTACCTCAGCTTTCACCATCTCAATTATCAACAACACTACCACCACAATTATCACCACTAACCCCACCACCACCTCATTTACCACCGTCGTAACCAGTTTTTTGTCATCAAGCCTTGAACTTTTCCCGGGAACTCATGTAAATACCAAGAGTTTAATCCTTTCATCTCAAGGAAGATTAATAAGACTAACACAGACGTAAAGAAGGAAATACTGTGACGGCGACTTGTGCTTAGGTAGTGAGCCATCCTCTTGTCACGTGACGGATAACTTTCAAGTTTAGACTGACGAACATTCTGTCAACCTGTCAACACACACACACCCACACACACAAACAAACAAACAAACACACACACACACACACACACACACACACACACACACACTGTCACTATGTTGAAATGAACTGTAGTTTGAGCTGATCCCCATCTAAGTTACTATATGTCTTATTTGTGTCACTTATGTCACTTGTATATTATTTGTAATTCGTAACCCATTCCCCAAATATGTAACTGTATATTTTCAGCCTTCTGGCTGCCAAGCTCTTTCAATAAACCGTTAATTATTATTATTATTATTATTATTACACACACACACACACACACACACACACACACACACACGAACACTGCTTCCATCATAATCTGTGTGGCATACCATCGGCCTCGCTCACCCACCAGAGACACTCTTATTAATCATCTCATTACCACCTCAGACCACCTCAGAGTTAGGTACCCATGTGCCAAGTTAGTATTATGTGGGAATTTTAATGAAATTGACACCGCTGATATCCAGGACCAGCTATCACTATCACAAGTTGTGACCTTCCCCACACACGGTCAAAATACCCTTGACCTTATCTTAACTGACTTAGCGGACCAGTACCAACCACCTCAACCAATGCCTCCTATCGGGTGTAGCACACACTTATCAGTGCTCTGGTCCCCAGCTGCCACTCCCACTCAAGTACAGAGACCCTACATCAAGACCTACAGGCCGATTACTGACTCTGCAGTGCGCCTCTTCGGGCAGTGGATAGTTCACCATCCCTGGACTGAAGTACTTAGCGTGGATGACGTGGAAACCAAATGGATAAATTATACCAACACCACCACGGAAGCTCACCACCACTTCTTCCCCGAGAAGTCCGTCAGATCTCACCCAGCTGACTTGCCCTGGATCACACCTCGGATCAAAAGACTTATGCAACAGAGAGACAGAGCCTTTCATCTCAATGACCACATCCGCTACAGGTCCCTTCGCAACCGAGTCATCCGCGAAATACGCACTGCAAAGAAGTCCCACTACCCAACCAAATTACAACACCTGAAGCAGACCAACATCAGTCAATGGTATGGTAAGCTTAAAGAACTCTGTGGACTAAACAATAAGACACACCCCCTCCCCTTCCTTAGCCATCTCACTAATGTTGACGCAGCTGAGCAAACAAATAACCATTTCGCTACTATATGCCAGACGCTCCCCCGGCTTGACACAACCACTCTCCCTGCTTACCTACCAGCCCCCCTTCCCACTGACTTAGTAGAAGAATTTGAAGTAGCAAAACGCCTGGACAAACTAAAATTAAAACGCTCTACCACCCCCATTGACTTACCAATGAAACTCTTCAAGGAGTTCTCCCCGGAGCTTGCTAAACCCCTATGCTCCATCATCAATGCTTCTCTCAGTCAAGCCAGATGCCCAGCTGACTGGAAGACCTCTTATGTATCACCAGTGCCCAAGTCAACCAGCCCACAATCCTTAAATCAGCTACGACCTATTGCAATCACCCCAATACCCAGCCTAATCTGTGAAAGTTTTGTGTTCGACTGGGCTTATGCTGATATTGCAGGAGTCGTAGACCCTCAGCAATTTGGCAACATGAAAACTTCCTCCACCACTCACTGTCTTGTCAGCTTTCTCGATTACATATACCGCCATCTCGAGAAACGAAAAACGTCTGTAGCTGTCGCCTTCATTGATTTCACTAAAGCATTCGACCTAGTCGACCACAATATAATCATCAACAAAGCTATTGACCTCGGGCTTCGGAGAAGTCTTATACCATGGCTTACAGACTTCCTCAGTGACCGACGCCAAGCTGTACGCTTCCGAGGGGCTGTCTCCACCTTTCAGTCACTCACCTGTGGCGTCCCCCAAGGCACCAAGATGGGACCACTCTGCTTCCTTATGCTCATCAATGATGCTCTAAGAGAAACCCCTGCTCGCTGGAAATATGTCGACGACTCCACCATTGGGATCAGCGTCAACAATTCTGCTCCCAACTATACCGCCCTTCAGGATTTATTGAACAGTCTCCAAAACTGGGCCACCAACAACCATGTCACCATCAACCATACCAAGACCATGGTTATGCACATCAACCTCTCCTCCAACATTGTCCCACCTCCTTCCATTACTCTAGGTCCGAACACACTCCAGGTTGTAGATTCCACGAAGCTCCTCGGCGTCACCATAGACAACAAACTAAATTGGAAACCACACGTCAGTGAAGTTGTCAAATCCTCCAGTTTCCGTCTCCACCTCCTCCGCCGACTCAAGTCCCTCGGAGTTCCTGCACCCAAGCTCCTCAGTGTTTACACAACATTCATACTTCTCAAGCTCACCTATGCCTCCCCCACCTGGTGTTCCTCCCTAAATGCCACACAACATAAACACCTAGAAAAAGTGCAAAAGAGGGCATGCAAGATTATTCTCTCCCCTTCCTACTCCACATATCAAGAAGTGCTCAACACACTGACCCTTTCGACTCTCACTGACCATCACCACGACCTCATCTGCAAATATGGTAAGAAGCTTCTACACCATCCTCGACACCGGCTCCTACTACCACCTGAGATCCCTAGTCCGAGAATTGCTGTTCGACACCACAACCGCATCCAGCCCATACGTGCACGAACTGATCGCTATAAGAACAGCCCAGTCCCAACCACTGTAAAAATTATCAATAACTCGTAATAAACCAGTGTATTCACTCCCAGTAAACACTACTCCTTGCACTGTCACTATGTTGAAATGAACTGTAGTTTGAGCTTTTCCCCATCTAGTTATTATATGTCTTATTTGTGTCACTTATGTTACTTGTATATTATTTGTAATTCGAAACCCATTCCCCAAATATGTAACTGTATATTTTCAGCCTTCTGGCTGCCAAGCTCTTTCAATAAACCGTTAATTATTATTATTATTATAACTTAGACGAGCATGCTAAATAAACTGTTTCAATTCAATTACTTTCACAGGATATCAGGAACTCATGCCCCTTTACAGCTTCATTGTCTTAACCTAACGTAACATCTTATTTCTTGTAAAAAAAGGCAAACTGTTGCCCTAGACAGATATTCTCGTAGAATTCAACAATAATATCGCATTAATTTCCAGAGCTTGAGTGTGAGAAGGATGAAGGAGCGTCTTCCTTCCAACATCCCCAAGTGAGTCGCTGTCTCCCTGGCGTGTGTTGGAACTGGATAAACACGACCAACGATTCAAAAACCCTGGCTAAGTCGCTCGCTGTACAGTGTCCGGATTCACAGAGGTTCGTACGTTGAACTTTCTTCGTAACAGGTGAAGGAATAACGTATCTAACGTATCGAACTGATACCAAAATTACTCTGACTTGACAAATTTCACGGCCGTAATGTTGATGAAGCCGAACGCTGAGCGTGCAATGTTCACAGCAAGGATATGATTTTTATCACTACCTGTCACACGCGTTGGTGTGGAGATGTATTAAACGAGCAGTAGTATGTGGCCCCGGACACCAACCACACCCAGCCAGCCCCGTGACCTCCGCTTGGACCCGTATACCGCCTTAACACTACACATGGTCACATCTCCCGTAAACTTTACAATGTTGATTGGTACAGACTGAACACCGGCTCTTGACAAACATATGAGTTTTTTTATGAGTTAATTCATTGAATTGCGAAAAGGTGTTAGGTATAGGTGTGCTCATGAGAAGCTTAGTAGCTGAGTGTAGCAGTGTTTGACCCACTCTTCCGCTGCCTAAAACATTAGTAACATCATGAATGATAAGGAACATAAAGTTGCCATTATATAACAACTAAATTATTGTAACAGCGTCATTGTGGGAGGAGTGGAAGACGCTTTAACTGAGATACGTAATCTAATATGCTGATAAATTACATCATTGTACTGTATTATATAATGATGCCAAAAGCAGAGTTTGCGTGTGAACCTCGGCACTACTAGTATTATCTCGTCTATAACGGTTCACATTGTTCTTACAACAAATTCGTCGTTTGTCTGACGGTAATAAAATTATTAACGCGACTTTAAGTAATGTGTAAACATATTCATAATATTTTATCCTCTTGGTTATATGTCATACAGTATAAGCTAATGACCCCCAACATCCCCAAGCTTTTCAGATGCACATAAGTCATCACCTAATCATTTAAGGTAACGTAAACCCAGCCAGCCAGAAGGTTTACACTGAGCAGTCTGGCTCTCACACGGTATGATAAACATAGAACGGTAATGGAGACAGAACGAAGGTGAGAGTTGAGGGGCAGCAGACGTCCTGTAGTGGACACCGGCAGTCATAGTGAAGGGTAACACTTACCCCATGGTGGAGAGTCGAGGTCACTCAGAGAATCACTTGGTAACACCCTTCAACCTGCCCGCCTCCACAGCTTGTTCAACACACTGCTACCGGTGTAACACTTGGCCAACACACTCAAGTAACACTTGGCACAGACACTGGTAACACTTCGTATGAACCTTTAAGGTAACACTTGTCACAAGACACTAAAGTAGCACTTGTCATATATCACTGAAGGAACACTCAAGGAAGACTCGTGAGGTGCTCTTGTACGGTGTGTAACACTCGTGCTTCAGGGGTTAGTGCAGGCTATGTTGAGGCGTGGTCGTCCAGGCTGGAACACAGAAACCTTAACGTTAGTCACCCAACAAATTGATAATAAAGGCACATAGTATGGGCGCCGGTAAGGTAGGGGAAATACCTGCATTTAGATATTGTAAGTGATGTAGCCTGAGTGTCATGAACAGCGAAAATTAAATACAATTCTAGACCGTAAAAATGTTTTGACAGCGTGTGGGGGAAACAGTGAATGAAGAACAGTGTAGAGTGATGTGCTGTGCTGTGTGTACATCTACTGTACGTGCATGACATAACTGAAATGAGTCACTGAAGCGTCCTTCGGTGCGTGGGAACCAGGAACACCTCGACACAACCTGACACCTCTCGCTCAACTTATCTCTTCTTTTCTATATATATATATATATATATATATATATATATATATATATATATATATATATATATATATATATATATATATATATATATATATATATATATATATATATATATATATATATATATATATATATATATATATTATTTTTTTTTTTTTTTAAACCTTCATAAGTACCATTATACAAGTTGTGAGGTAACGTTAGTGTTTACACGCGGTTTAGCATTGTTGTCATGTCGAGTTTTGTAAATGAGACGTCTGTTATCAGTAGGCGGTGGAGGTTGGGAACATTATGCACAAGGTCTTGAACACATAAATTTGTTGACATAAATTGCTGTTGTCCGGTGCTGCGGCCGACGTGCGTGTGTGTACGTACAGGAGACGTTAATAGTCTCCCGCCCTAGAGATTCAGTGTGTCTTGACCCTAGTAAGTCGTAATTAGTTAGTTACCTGTAGATTGTACACACCAATAATGTCTCCTGTACACACACACACACACAAATAATTAACACTTCAGCACCATGTCACCTGGGACACCGGAAGTGGCTCTTCAAGTCTTATCCTAACCCATCCTGCCGTAAACTGTGTTGTGTTGTGAGGCTAAGACAAGTGTTAGTTAGTTAACCTTGGGAGGCCGGCGGAGGAAACAACACCCATTATTGTATGTCCTAACACAATGAAGGAAGAAAAATAGTTAAGAGTTTTAACAAAGATGTGAGACGTGATAGTGTATAAAGATGTCGGGAGATAAACAGTTGCCGTCCATGGACCAATACTGTTGAGACTCCACTACTGTTATCACTCTCTCTTGTTATTTATATTTATTTTGTATACTTAGACATACACACAGACAAACAATCCCTCTGTGGCGAGTTGATTTTGATAGCATTACGGCTCTAATGTTAAATAGTTTCCTGAGGCGAAATATGAAGGCATTAATAAAAAAAATACATACTTACATCCCCATTCATACTTCATAATATACATAGTCATATTTCATAACATAAAAACACACAAACAAGCAAACATATAATCAAACAAACAAACAAAAACATACAAATAAATACACTTCCCACTAACACTGCTTCACTGACTGCAAAATAAGGAACAAAAATAATGATAATAAAATGAACAGATTTGGTATATAGCGATGATGATGCTGATGATAATAATAATATCCGATAGTGATAGTGATAATGGTAATGTTTATTGTGATGTTAATGATGATGAACATTGACTATGAACAGTAAACAGTGATGATGAACAGCAATGGTGAATAGTAAACAGTGACGATGAACAGTAAACAGTGATGCTGAACAGTGAACAGTGATGGTGAACAGTAAACAGTGATGCTGAACAATAAACAGTGATACTGAACAGTGAACAGTGATGGTGAACAGTAAACAGTGTTGATGAACAGTGAACAGTGAGGATGATGAACAGAAAAGAGTGATGATGAACAGTAAACAGTGATGCTGAACAGTGAACAGTGATGGTGAACAGTAAACAGTGATGCTGAACAATAAACAGTGATACTGAACAGTGAACAGTGATGGTGAACAGTAAACAGTGTTGATGAACAGTGAACAGTGAGGATGATGAACAGAAAAGAGTGATGATGAACAGTAAACAGTGATGGTGAACAGTGAGGATGATGAACAGTGAACAGTGAGGATGATGAACAGTAAACAGTGATGATGAACAGTAAACAGTGATGGTGAACAGTAATGGTGAATAGTAAACAGTGACGATGAACAGTAAACAGTGATGCTGAACAGTGAACAGTGATGGTGAACAGTAAACAGTGATGCTGAACAATAAACAGTGATACTGAACAGTGAACAGTGATGGTGAACAGTAAACAGTGTTGATGAACAGTGAACAGTGAGGATGATGAACAGAAAAGAGTGATGATGAACAGTAAACAGTGATGCTGAACAGTGAACAGTGATGGTGAACAGTAAACAGTGATGCTGAACAATAAACAGTGATACTGAACAGTGAACAGTGATGGTGAACAGTAAACAGTGTTGATGAACAGTGAACAGTGAGGATGATGAACAGAAAAGAGTGATGATGAACAGTAAACAGTGATGGTGAACAGTGAGGATGATGAACAGTGAACAGTGAGGATGATGAACAGTAAACAGTGATGATGAACAGTAAACAGTGATGGTGAACAGTAAACAGTGTTGATGAACAGTGAACAGTGAGGATGATGAACATGATGAACAGTAAACAGTGAGGATGATGAACAGTGAACAGTGAGGATGATGAGCAGTAAACAGTGATGATGAACAGTAAACAGTGATGGTGAACAGTGAAGATGATGAACAGTAAACAGTGATGATGAACAGTAAACAGTGATGATAGTAAACAGTGATGATGAACAGTGAACAGTGAGGATGATGAACAGTGAACAGTGAGGATGATGAGCAGTAAACAGTGATGTTGAACAGTAAACAGTGATGGTGAACAGTAAACAGTGTTGATGAACAGTGAACAGTGAGGATGATGAACAGAAAAGAGTGATGATGAACAGTAAACAGTGATGGTGAACAGTGAGGATGATGAACAGTGAACAGTGAGGATGATAAACAGTAAACAGTGATGATGAACAGTAAACAGTGATGGTGAACAGTGAAGATGATGAACAGTAAACAGTGAGGATGATGAACAGTAAACAGTGATGATGAACAGTAAACAGTGATGATAGTAAACAGTGATGATGAACAGTGAACAGTGAGGATGATGAACAGAAAACAGTGATGATGAACAGTAAACAGTGATGATGAACAGTAAACAGTGATGATGGACAGTGAAGTGATGATGAACAGTAAACAGTGATGGTGAACAGTGAGGATGAACAGTAAACAGTGTGGTGGTGAACTGACCAGGTAACGGGCGTTAACAGGTAGGCCACACGGTGTAGGTCGAGAGAGAGACACACACACCACCCTTCTGTGAGGCAGTCAGCGGGCAACTGAGCTGACATCTCTGAGCTGAAGTGGGTACTAGTGTTACCTCCCTCCCTCCACCACTACCCTGGCCCTCCACCACTACCCTGGCCCCCCACCACTACCCTGGCCCTCCACCACTACCCTGGCCCCCCACCACTACCCTGGCCCTCCACCACTACCCTGGCCCTCCACCACTACGGCCCTCTTCCACTACCCTGGCCCCCACCCTCCACCACTACCCCGGCCCTTTTCCACTACCTGGTCCTCCACCACGACCCTGGCCTCCACCACGACCCTGGCCTCCACCACTACCTGGCCCTCCACCACTACCCTGGCCCTCCACCACTACCCCAGCCCTCTTCCACTACCTGGTCCTCCACCACTACCCTGGCCCTCCACCACTACCTTGTCCCTCCACCACTACCCTTGCCTCCACCACTACTCCCCTCCACCACTACCTGGCCCTCCACCACTACCTGGCCCTCCACCACTACCCTGGCCCCTCCACCACTACCCTGGCCCTCCACTCATCCCTGGCCCTCCCACTACTACCTTGTCCCTCCACCACTACCTGGCCTCCACCACTACCTTGTCCCTCCACCACTACCCTGGCCCTCCACCACTACCTTGTCCCTCCACCACTACCTGGCCCTCCACCACTACCTTGTCCCTCCACCACTACCCTGGACCTCCACCACTACCCTGGCCCTCCACCACTACCTTGTTCCTCCACCACTCTCTGGCCCTCCACCACTACCTTGTCCCTCCACCATTACCTGGCCTCCACCACTACCTTGTCCCTCCACCATTACCCTGGCCCTCCACCACTACCTGGTCCCTCCACCACTACCCTGGCCCTCCACCACTACCTTGTCCCTCCACCACTACCCTGGCCTCCACCACTACCTTGTCCCTACACCACTACCCTGACCCTCCCACCACTACCCTGGCCCTCCACCTACCCTGACCCTCTACCACTACCTTGTCCCTCCACCACTACCTGGCCCTCTACCACTATCTTGTCCCTCCACCACTACCCTGGCCCCACCACTACCTTGTCCCTCCACCACTACCTTGTCCCTCCACCACCACTACCCTGGCCCTCCACCACCACCTTGTCTCTCCACCACTACCTTGGGCCCTCCACCACTACCTATCCCTCCCACCACTACACTGGCCCTCCACCACTATCTTGTCCCTCCACCACTACCTGCTCCGTCCACCACTACCCTCCTCCACCACTACCTTGTCCCTCCACCACTACCCTGGCCTTCCACCACTACCTTGTCCCTCCACCACTACCCTGGCCCTCTACCACTACCTTGTCCCTCCACCACTACCCTGGCCCTCCACCACTACCTCCCTCCACCACTACCCTGGCCCTCCACCACTATCTTGTCCCTCCACCACTACCCTGGCCCTCCACTACATTGTCCCTCCACCACTACCTTGTCCCTCCACCACTACCTGGCCCTCCACCACTACCTTGTCCCTCCACCACTACCCTGGCCCTCCACCACTACCTTGTCCCTCCACCACTACCCCTGGCCCTCCACCACTATCTTGTCCCTCCACCACTACCTTGTCCCTCACCACTACCTTGTCCCTCCACCACTACCTGGCCCTCCACCACTACCTTGTCCCTCCACCACTACCCTGGCCCTCCACCTATCTTGTCCCTCCACCACCACTACCCTGGCCCTCCACCACTACCTTGTCCCTCCACCACTACCCTGGCCCTCTACCACTATCTTGTCCCTCCACCACTACCCTGGCCCTCCACCACTACCTTGTCCCTCCCACCACTACCTTGTCCCTCCACCACTACCCTAGCCCTCTACCACTATCTTGTCCCTCCACCACTACCCTGGCCTCCCACCACTACCTTGTCCCTCCACCACTGCCTTGGCCTCCACCACTACCTGGCCCTCCACCACTACCTTGTCCCTCCACCACTACCCTCCCTCCACCACTACCCTGGCCCTCCACCACTACCTTGTCCCTCCACCACTACCCTGGCCCTCTACCACTATCTTGTCCCTCCACCACTACCCTGGCCTTCCACCACTACCTTGTCCCTCCACCACTACCTTGTCCCTCCACCACTACCCTGGCCCTCCACCACTACCCTGGCCCTCCACCACTACCTTGTCCCTCCACCACTACCTTGTCCCTCCACCACTGGCCCTCTACCACCTTGTCCCTCCCACCACTACCCTGGCCTCTACCACTATCTTGTCCCTCCACCACTACCTGGCCCTCCACCACTACCTTGTCCCTCCACCACTACCTGGCCCTCTACCACTATCTTGTCCTTCCACCACTACCTTGTCCCTCCACCACTACCCTGGCCCTCCACCACTACCCTATCCCTCCACCACTACACTGGCCTCCACCACTATCTTGTCCCTCCACCACTACCTGCTCCCTCCACCACTACCCTGGCCCTCCACCACTACCTTGTCCCTCCACCACTACCCTGGCCTTCCACCACTACCTTGTCCCTCCACCACTACCCTGGCCCTATACCACTACCTTGTCCCTCCACCACTACCCTGGCCCTCCACCACTACCTTGTCCCTCCACCACTACCCTGGCCCTCTACCCTATCTTGTCCCTCCACCACTACCTTGGCCTCCACCACTACCTTGTCCCTCCACCACTACCTTGTCCCTCCCACCACTACCTGGCCCTCTACCACTACCCTGGCCCCCCACCACTACCTTGTCTCTCCCACCACTACCCTGGCCCTCCACCACTACCTTGTCCCTCCACCACTACCCTGGCCCTATACCACTACCTTGTCGCTCCACCACTACCCTGTCCCTCCACCACACACATACATTATATGATCACATTGTCTCTTGTGGACATTTTGATGTTTTCTTTGAACAAATGCCAGATCACTGTACACATTGTTGTCACAGTCAGGACATTTACATAACGACCATTAACATTAAGTGATATAACAAATAAGGAAAGTTAACACTAACATGTGCCCGCGTGAGTTACCTGCAGACGTGTATCCTAAGTTGAGTCTCAGCGTCACAGAAACATTTAGTGCACCAACTTGGTTCTAATGAGAGATGCAGTCAGTTTCAGTTGGTGACCTGTACAGTATATTGTTCCGACTGTCTGTCTATCTTGTTGTCTCGTATTTCATCTGGATAACTTGGTACAATGAAACTTTTATATAGCGAACTTCTCTCTCTCAATATAATTCGTTAGATGGAAGTTTTCACATCTAACGGACCTTTGATATAACGGACTTTCATCTTTTTAAAGCCCGGTAAATAGAAGTTTTATCGTAGTGAGATATGATGTGCTCTGGGCTGTTGAACAATACTGAAATGTTCTGTATCTCGGCAACCACCCTTTTGTTTTTCAGAGTCTCGTGGCCGGGTTAAGTGAGATAAGAATAAAAATATTGTGTTAATCTTCCTCGAAAGGTAACCTAATTCTCCTTTTTGGGAATAATGAGGGAGGGCGTGCAAACTCCTATGTCTTCTCTCCCTCCTCACTCTCCCACCCTGGCCCCCCTCACTCCGGCTCACTCTCCCCCTCACCCCAGTTCACTCCCCCTTCACCTCAGCACACGCTCTCCCTCACCGCAGCACTCTCTCCCTCACTCCAGCACACTCTCCCCCCGCCCCCTCATCCCCCTAACCACGGACCTCTAAAATCGCAAGGTTACTGATAGCTGACCTTCACGTTGGTCTCCGTCAATCAGTTGTACACTTTAGGTTTTTCCGTATTGACAAAAGGTTTATCAACACCACACAGTCATGATAACGTCAGCAGTGGCCGCGGGTGACGGTCTACGAAGGTTATTTCATCATCCTCGCATTCCACTAATTATAATCAGTGTTTTAATCACTAATGGAGGGTGTGGGCAGGGGGAAGGGGTGGTGTATTAGGTCCCAGGACACAACACTGTAAAATCATTACGTATTTGACGGCCATACACTCTTGACCATCACTACCTTGAAGATTCGATAAAGATCTTAAAGTTGTTCTCACGATGAACATAACAGCATGAGAAGTGACACCCAAGCATTATCACGTTACCTAACTGAGAAAGTTGAAATCACATCTGAGAATAAGAAAAGGAGGTTGATATCACATCTGAGAATAAGAAATGGAGGTTGATATCACATCTGAGAATAAGAAATGGAGGTTGATATCACATCTGAGAATAAGAAAAGGAGGTTGATATCACATCTAGGTAAAAGAGGAACAGACTTTAAGAGTAAATGTGTGGGCTGCCAGTTACCCGAGCGACCGTATTTTGTTCTGGTCGCCGTGCTTCTTCGTCGTGTTTTTTTAGTCTTTTTCCTTCAGCTTACAACACACACACACACACACACACACACACACACACACCTTGTTTTATCCTGGTTGTCACTTGTCCCATCAGTACAGCACCTGGTCGGATGGTCGTTCACTTTCCTGTGCTCAGTCGACAAGTGCTGGTTGTGTACTGTAGGGTTTGAGTGTTCTAAACAGATGCCAGTGTTGGTCAAGTCTGGCCTTAAGGACATCATACTCGGTGTCATCACAACAATCTCTGACAGGTATTACAAGAGTCGCAAGATTCTTTACCTGAAGGCTGAGGGGGGAGGTCCGCTGAATGGATAAATACATTTTAACACGGCAGTCGCGCGGTCGTATACGCTTATGTTAAACATTTATCAGCCGTAAACGTTGTGGTGTCTCTTGCTGCGTCAGTCTGGTCGCTCCCTTTTGGACGTATTTTATCAGCTGGCAGCCTGGCCTGGGCGACCAAATACAACTGTAGTAATACAGGTGACGCAGAGCTCCACCTTGCTAGTGCTACACCCTACTATGCTACACCTTGCTAGCTCTACACCTTGCTAGCACTACACCCTACTAGTACTACACCCTACAAGTGCTACACCTTGCTAGCTCTACACCTTGCTAGCGTTGCACCCTACTTGTGCTGCACCTTGCTTGCGTTGCACCCTACTTGTGCTACACCTTGCTACTCGGTGAGCCTTA